GAGGTGTGAGGTGAGTTGGGGGGGGTGGGAGGTGAGGTGAGGTGGTTTTCTCCAGCCCCGGCGAACCCCTTCGTTAACGGCGGCGTTTGTTGTTCCGTAGGAGGGGAAGATGAGCAAGCCCATCACGACTTCAACGTATGTCCGCTGCCTCAGCTACGGGCTGGTGAGGCAGCTGGCAGATTTCATCGACCCGCAAGAAGGGTGGAAGAAGTTGGCAGTTGATATAACCAATCCCTCCGGCGAAAGCAGATACAACCAGATGCACATAAGGTCCTATATAGAAGTCGCATAACACAATCTTGTTTTTTGGCTGTTTAACATAAATATGGTTGTCCATCCCGTTATTGTAACTGGTTGCAGTTTGTGTGCCGGCAGGTACCTAAGAACTCATCTTACAGTACTCTTTCCTTAGGGAACTCGAGGTAATTACTCTTAATTGTTCTGTAGTTCAGTTTTCAGACAAGCTATAGCCAAAGAAAATTGACTACGGAAATTAGGATTAATTAGAGCCACGGACATATGTATTTTTAGCGATACAGCATTGGCTGTGTAACTTTTCCATGCCCTAGAGACTACTAAACATCAACTTCGTCGTGCATCTCACACAAGAACAGCACAAGAGACAACTGGACTGTAACCTGTAATTCACTGTTCCCAAGAAAATGTCCAGCAAACACGGGGAGCCTGAGGCCTAAACCTAACAAGTTTAATTTAAAAGTAATGTCAGCAGTATTTTATGAACTCCTTGTTGCTTGAAAGGCTTGTTGAATCCTTAAGCTGTTTCAAAGGTTATGAGATTTTAAATACCCTACGTATCATCTTGCGTGTCCAGTCTTTCTAGTGATGTTAGCATTAAATCTTCATTTGTCTTTGTATAATAATAATAAATCAGTCAGAATAATGGATCTCAATTTCTGCTTAATGCCCATCTCTAAATATTCAACATGAAGTGTGAATGCCAGATGGATGGAAAACACTTAAATTTTTTCCATTTGATCAGTATCTGACTTGCCCTCTGTCTCTTGCTGACATTCTCTTTTCTGTTAGTCCCATGTGCCTATATATTATGAGTCCTGGACAAAATGTTGAAGCCATGCATGCATGTTTTTCCCTTAGTTTTTCTCATATCTTGCATATTTTTCCCCTGAGCTTGAATTTCTTCTGGTTTTTTTAGCTGCATTTTCAGAAGATATGCAAATAATTGTACAGTGCAGTTCAGTACACTCAGATTTTTTTTTTTTTTGTCATTTACTTTTAATCTCTTTCCCCTCTTCATGGTTCTTGAGGTCAGGTTTTTTTTTAATGTTGGTGTTAATTTATCTTTTAAGGAGATTTGAAGCATTTGTACAAATGGGAAAGAGCCCCACGTGTGAATTACTTTATGACTGGGGAACGACAAACTGTACGGTTGGTGATCTTGTGGATCTGCTGATTAGGAATCAATTCCTAGCACCAGCAAGCCTTTTGCTTCCAGGTAACTGTTACTCTTGTACATTTTGTACTGTGTTCTCAGTTTTTTAAGATGCTAAAGAGCTTCACAGTAACTTGAAAATCAGAAAGAATTAGGTCAAAATAACCAAAAGTAGACATATTTTCCATTTTCCATTATTTGTAATAACAGTTTAAATAAGAGTTTCAAGTTCAAACGAGAGTCCTGCAGCTTACACATGGTGGCAGAATATAACCTTCTCATGATGCTTACGTGTCTCCTCATCTTAGTAAATACTAGCATTAATGTTTCTTCTGATTCCTAATGCAGTTAACACTTTTTCTAAATTCCATTTTCAGAAGCTGTAAGGATGGCACAAGAAGTTACATTACCTCTTTCTTCACAGGAAACCTTGCCTATACATGAGAAACAACTGCCTATACAGGAAAAAGAAGTGGCATCTGTAAAGCCTGTTTTAGTTCAGAGTACTGAGAAGCAATGTTCAGCTCCTCCCTACTTAAGTCAAGAAAATAGCAGCTCACAGTCTAGTAGCACAGGTAGGCACTTAGTTTGGTGGAATTAAGTACAGTCTTTTTTGCTGATCTGTCCTTCACCCCATGTGCAATAAAACATAACAATGCATTGAAGTAATGACTATATTCCTATCATCGTGCATCAATGGGAAACGGCATCTTGCTTTTGCTCTTGTTCTGAGTGGCTGTGAATTTAGCCTGGATAATAAGATGTCAGAATGTGAGATGCACCTTGCCAATAAGGTGGCTACTGTGATGGGAAACTTGACTGCTAATTAAATTTCAGTTTATTTTGTGCTACTCATAATCCTGTTGCCCTTTTTCAGTACTGATTTTGTAGACTGTTTAGCATCTTGTGTTTTAAAGCTGGATCTTACATGTCAGAAGTGACTTAAGAATGTTGGAGAAAAGATGACTAAAGAAAACATTCTAGGAAAGAATATGGTTAGTCTGTTCCTTCCTAAAGGTCCACTTTTGGGTTGCTGCCAGAAACATGATGTGATCTAGATACATTTTTACATCTGACGCAGTGTGGCACTCTCTGTCGTCTGCTGCACATTTGATTTCTATTACCTGTATTACAAGTATTAACAAAAAATACAATCAGAAGGCTGCTACATTACTAGTTATGAAGAAAATAATACATAGCTGATTATATATATTTATCTGTGTTTCTTTTTTTTTTTTTCCTGGTATTTTCATCACAAAGCTGGAAGTAGGTCTCCACTATGTCAGGATTTGCATGGTAGCAAGTTTTTGGTTTAATAGAACTGACGCAGAGAATCTATTCAATACACTCGTTCTTAAGGGAAAACATAGTTGTGCTAAATGGCAAATATGTCTTTCAGATTTCCATAATTTTTCATTTCACGACTTGGAAAGTGTTACAAATAATTTTGATGCGCGACCAGAATCAGCTGGAGGTAATAAACTGGGAGAAGGTGGCTTTGGTGTTGTGTTCAAAGGCTACATCAATGGCAGAAACGTGGCTGTCAAGAAGCTTGTTGCTGTGAGTTGTTCTGGGCATTTTCCATTTTAATGACTGTGTGCTTTAGAGTATAGACTTGTTTATCTGTGGAAAGTGTTGAATGATAAACTTCAAAAAGTGTCACCACGTTAAACATTAGTTGGGTTGAGAACCTTATCCTGTAGTCCCATCAGTGGTGTGAGTCAGCACAGTCACCAGAAATGAAGTCTTGCCCTTTCTGTAGCTCTCCTTTGAGTGGCTCGGGCAAGTTGTCTGGAAGAGCAGAGTCCTCCCGCAGTTCCCCTCCCTCCCCTGTACACAAGAAGTGGTGGAAGGGAAGGGGTGGTAGGGAGGTTTCCCTTGCAGAAACGGATGAACGATTCACAAGCTAAATAGGTATTGCCACAGAATTGTAGTCTTCATAACCAATGGTTTGTGTGAATAATTAAGTTTGTAATGAGTAATTGCTATTAGGGGGTAACTGCAGTGAAATAAAATGGGTAAGTTGGTGACTGTGCTGAGACTGGATCCATTTGTCCAATAATACTGTGTTCCAAGGAATTAAAAGTCATGTTCTGATCCTTTATTTTTGAGTTGAGTGTAAAAAATACTGTTAACAGTTAAGTAGTTGTTACATGTAACTAATGTAAAGGAAGGCTTACAATTCGGATTTTTTTTTTTAATTAATAACTGTGCATTTTAATATGTCCAGTGATGTTAACGTCAAATACTTCCTTTTGTAGATGGTTGATGTTAGTGTTCAGGACTTGAAACAGCAATTTGATCAAGAAATAAAAATGATGGCGAAGTGAGTACAGTGTTATACGATGTCATTATAGCCTTTTGTGGGAGTCTAATGTTGACAGATAACACGTCAGCTAGTGTGATCCCTTATTTTTGTCTTTCTAGCATAACTTAATGATTTTGATGTTAAGTGAGAATGTTTCATACACAACATGACTGTATTTTGTTCGTTTTAAAGCACCACTGCAGAAACCTGGCTATGTGCAGTAGGGCTGAAACAAGTAATTGCGGATCAAGTTCCCTCTGCCTCGTATTTTCCTCAAATGCTGGGAGTTTTTCAGAGCATATACAAACACAGTTTTTTTGCTGTAGGTGTCAGCATGAGAATCTAGTAGAATTACTTGGTTTCTCAAGTGACGGTGCTCAGCCATGTCTGGTGTACGAATACATGCCCAACGGTTCATTGCTTGACAGACTTGCTTGTCTGGTAAGTTATATATTTTCTAGCTTCCAGTTGGCTTACTTTGCTGAAGTACAGATATCTATGAAATCTTTCAAACAGTACTGAACCGTAATGGCCAAATGATGTTTTACAACTTACTTCTGTGTTCTAGAAGACAAATATGATAACAAGTATTCTTCCAATAACATTTTATACAAATGTTTTAGGCAAGTTAAAGTCAAAGCAGGCTGACAATACAATATCATGTACTAGTACCTGAAGTGGCAGAGGAGCTTAGACTTGCTATGCCTGCGTGGACCGGAGCAGAGGGTGCTGCAGTATTGTTCCCAGTTCTGCCATTAGCATGTTCTCTGCTAGTTCTTGAGATTCTGCATTGTGAAATTGCCCTTTGTTCATTGCCTTTGTGACAGTGGTTATAACACAATGTTCATAGTCTGCGTATCTCTCTGAAGTGCCTAAATAAATGGGAAATATATTTTTTTTAAGTAGTATTTTGTGTAAATGCAGGCTTCCTTCTGATTTAATCAACTGACGTATCTTCTAGCCTTGGCCTTTAATAAAGAATAAGTTGCTTTGTTTTTGGTGAGGCAACTCT